TACAAAAAGAAGAAGAAGAAGAAGAAGAAGAAGAAGAAGAAGAAGAAGAAGAAGAAGAAGAAGAAGAAGAAGAAGAAGAAGAAGAAGAAGAAGAAGACCAAATCTCCCTTGGTCTCACACACAAAACTGAGTATGAATGATTTCTTTTTTCAGAAGTACAATCTGTAATCCATTTTACTTCATAAGCATGAAATCTTTTATGAACTTTGTACCTCAGCTTCCTTTTTTTTTTTTTTGGCCACTCATCTCACCCTCAGGGCAGGGCTGGGGCAGCATGTGGCGCTGGGGATCGAGCCAAGGGCCCCTGCGCCAGCCTAAGTTTGCCTAAGCAGGCGCTTTAGACCACTGAGCTATCTCGCTGGCCTGCACCTTAACTTTCACCCCTCACAACACACCTCGACCCATAAATACATCACCTCACCATACTCGAGAGCTACCAGTCAGGCAGGCTAACAGAGTTCCCCTGAAATAGTTCTCCCTGATCCATCAAAATGTAATCGTATTCTTGGGCCTAGCCATAGCTCTCCTGTGTAGGCCACAAAGATCATCCTCCTCGTTGTCTCATGGTCTCCACAAAGAGAAGAAGAAAAAAGAAAACTCAAGTGTAGCAGCTGAGTCAGGTGAAAGGCTTCATATGCATGATTTTGTGTCAGGGTCTTGACAATCCTAAAGTGAAGCCCTTCCCTTCCTCCTGCCCATCTCCATCACTGGTCACAGGCCTGTTAAGAAGCCAGAGGCGCTGCCAAGTGCCTGAGCCAGAATCCTGTATCTGTCAGGCTCTGCAGCCCATGCTCTTGCAAAACTACCCAGCCGTGGTGTCTGGTGGCTGACTCTCCCTCTCCTGCCTCTGCCCTGCCCCCAGCCAAGGGCTTCTGCTTCTGCCTCCTCACCTTGGCTTGCTGTCCCGAGGAGAACATCCAGTCTACCTTGGTCACACGTCGCTCTTCTGTGCTCTGGAGATGACATCTCATCAGAGCTGACTCACCCTTGTGGACCATGAGCTCTGGGGATAAAATGGCAAACCGAGTAAGACCAAAGTGAAATCTATAGAAGTTGAAGAATTTCTAGAAGACATAATGGCTAGCCAAAGATCTTCAAGAGCAAAAATTCCTGACACTCCCTAGCACCACACATAATCCCTAAATAGAAGATCCAGATGATTCTGTGAGAACGAAGCACTCAGAGGCTATGCCCTTACCCCAACATAGCATCTGCAGAGTCAAGAAGCACCTTCTAGGTGCCCACAAATACCACATATGAGTTCTTACTGTCTTCATACAGCAGTAAACTCTCCTTTAATTATTTTCTTTTTTCCCTTTCCAGAATTCCTCCCGTGAACACCAGTCCCCACACTGAGTCTGTGTTACAGAAAATACAGGAGTGTAGAAGCCCCTGCTCTCTATTCTTCCACCTTGATGCCCACATCTGCATGGCATAAACAGGAAGTGGAAAGTCATAAAACTCTCACTCTTATATTTAACCCACTGGTTCTCCCAGCTGAGAACATGAACCATGGGTAACTTTCTTCCAATTATTTTATTCTTTTTACATGTTGTCTTAGACCCTATTTAAAACTTACTACTGGCTTTAGCACAGATCACAGGACTTCTTGCTAATTAGGCTCAGACAATAGACAGCTTTCTCCTTGACTTGCTTACTGTTTTAATCCTGCCCCCTCCCATGTGGTTCCCTTCCCCTGCTTCCAGCTCTCCAACTCCCAGGTCTCCCTCTGCCTGTTCACATAAGCAGCTGCCCCCACTCCTAAAAGTCCTTGAAGAGAAAAAGGCACAAGGCCATTTCTGATTTTTTCACAATGTGCCACACAAATCAATCACAAAGTTACTTGAGAATGGAAAGACAGGAGGGTGGGTATGCAGGGAAACACAGCCTGAGCCTTAACTAGATGGAGCTCCTTCAATATAATACAGAAGCCAATCTTTCATCAAGACTCTTTCTCTGGGGGCCGGGGAGATGGCTCAGTGGAATAAGTGCTTCCCTGGCAAGCATAAGGGCTAAGGGCCTGAGTTCAATCCCCGGTTCTGCCAAAAAAAAAAAAGAAAAAAAAAAAGAAAAAAGAATAATCAGAAGACTCTTTCTCTGGGAAAACATGAGTTTCCTGCCCAGCAGTGTGAAGAACCCCAAAAATATTATGAACTCTAGATTCAATGGAGGGAACCATTTTAACAGAAGTTCACTTCAAAGAATATCAGTGGAGAAGAAATCATCATCTGAGTCCATCAGTACACAGAGAACTGAACTGTGCCTTTGAGTACAACAATAATAACAGTACTAAGTTCTTTTACTTTTTATTAACTTATTTATTTGGTCCAGGGTCTCACTACACAGCTCAGATTCATAGTGATCCTCCTGTCTCAGCCTTGCCAGAGCTGGGATCACAGGCGTGCGCCACCACATCCAGTTTCAGTGACCAGCTCAGCACAGAACCGGCATGGCAAATGATGGAACCCAGGTCCTTGAGCTTGCCAGGCAGGCACTTAGACCGCTGAGCTATCTCCCAAACCTCTAAGCCCTTTTATTTATTTTTTTATTTTTGTTTATTTATTTATTTATTGTATTTAGTGCAGGGTCTACAGATTCTATAGGGTCTCACTAAACAGATCAGACTTGTAGTGATTCTCCTGTGTTCAGCTTTCCAAGCACTGGGATTACTGGTGCACACCACCACGCCCAGTCTCAATTGCTGTGTCAGCACGCCCCAGGAGTAGGGCTGGCAGGGCAGGCTAGGGATCAAACCGCTGACCCCTGCGTCTGCCTGAGAGGTGCTTTAATCCGCTGAGCTATCTGGCCAGCCTCTAAGCCCTTTTAATACACCAAGTATGTACTAACATCTTATATGTATTTTGTCAATTAGTCATTAATGCACATATGTATATATTTATATGTATAATAATTGTACATACAGTATATAATTTGATTGCTGGGACTGATTTATATTTAATGTATGCAATATATGTATTAATTACATATATGCATATATATATAAAATCTGGTGTAGATTGAACCTAGAACCTAATTCATATTAGCTCTACCCCTGAGCTACATCCTAGCCCTAGTCATTATTACATTTTGAGGTAACATACAAGACACTATCCCATTTTATAGGAAAGCCCAAAGCCATATAATTAGTAAAAGCAGAGCCAGCACACAACCCTAGGCCTAAGTGAAAACAAAGCCTAACTGTTTTCATGCAGCATACTGGAATCACTTCACATAAATAGGAGAATGAGCCAGACATGGTAGTACATGCCTGTGATTCCAGAAATCCGGGAGGCTGAGGCAGGTTTGAAAATTTCAGCCTAACCTGGGCAATCTAGCAACTTATAACCTGACTCAGAAAGAAAAAAAGAACAGTAATAATAGCAATAAGGATTGGGATGTTGTTCAGTTTGAAAACCTCATATTCAAAAAAAAAAGAAAAAAATAACAATAATATTCAAAAAAATAAGTAACAATAATAAAGTAAATAGAAATATGGCCTGTTCAAGAGCACAAGAACAGGAAGTTGATATTATTTTTTAACTTGTACTGTTTAACATAAGTATTTAAAAAGAACTGAATAGTAGAACAAGAGAAAAAATATAAACTGAAGGGCAAACTCTGCAAAGAAAATCATAAATAACTAACAAAATGGAGTCTCCACAGGGGAAGCGACAACTTCCATAAAGCTATCAGACACTTTCCAGTGAGCCACTGGATAAAATTGCTAGGAACTGGATCTGTTGGCATTCTGGCTGGGAGGGAAAATAATTGCAAGTTCCCTAGCATGTGCTGGGGAATACCCGAGTACTCCTAAAGTTATTCTAGCCTGTTTCCAGGGTTTCTTTAGCTCTTGACATAGTTTCTCATTGGTTCCACCTATGTCTCTCTCAAGCAAGAGCGGGCATCCATTTGGGGAAAGCACCCATCTAGTAAGCTGTTTGGACAGACAAGTTCCCAGCCAGGGCATTGGGATCGAAGACAGAAAAAGGAAGCATAAAAAAAAAAAAGTCTCTGGGAAATACACATCTGACTCACTTCCTCTCATGCGAACCACAACTTTGAACTGAAGAGGAAAAAGATGAAGAGAAGTAGAAGAAAGAAGGAGAACTCCCGGAGGTCACCTATTACGACTTCACTTCTTAGAAATCAGATGCAAGTGAAGATCACTAGCTAAAAACTTTCATTTGTCAAAAGTTATATTGATTACTCCGTACCGGGCACTATGCCCAAAGCCAAGCAGAGACAAAGAACACAGTGCCACCCAAGTAGAGGACACAGCTGAACGAGTAGATGGAGGGTCGTGAAGGCAGGGTGCTCTGGAGGAGAGATGAGCAGCTAAGGGCCTACTCTGGCTCTGGGGAACAGAGTCCCACATTCTAGCTCCCAAGCCAGACAGCAAGCTTCCTTGAGCCCAGAGACTACAGAACACATCTAATTCTGTGACCTTTTTTTTTTTTTTTTTTTTTTGCGGAACCAGGGATTGAACTCAGGCCCTTGCACTTGCCACGCAAGTGCTTATTTTACTGAGCTATCTCCCCGGCCCCTCTTTTTTTAAAAAAATAAAATAAAAATAAAAACAACTCTACATTTATTGGCCTTCAGTAAAAACATAAGGGTAGTCAAAACAATATGAACAAATGTTTTACAAACACTCCCAGAGCAAACCACTTAAACAATTGCCTTTTTACATAGCATCATAATTGCCACTGCCTCACTTCCCTATTTGAATTCATTGATCATTTCTAGTTGGAGACATTTTGCAGCAGAGTAATGTTATCTCCTTTCAGCATGATCCAACCCAGTTGTTTTCTTGACTTTGTTTTACAATGAATTTCTTCTGCATCATCTAATACAAGGTTCATGTACTCATCAAAAGCAATAGTACAGCCCTCTATCCACATGTTCACTTGCTCATACAGCCACCCCTGGATCCGGGATCTATTCTGCAAGTATCTGAAGATGAGGTTGATGGGATGCACCATCACCTTCTGCACTTTCTGGCCCTGACCCCGGTACACCACGGCGGAGCCCAACAAAGACAATGCCAACCACCACCTCTATGACTTTCAACTACTTTTTAGGTGTGTGTTTTTGTTGGGAAATATCTGCATTAATATAGTAAACTTCTAGAGACAGTGGGTGTCATTATAAGAAATGATCCTTCTTAGTTAAAACTATGCTTCATGTTCTAGGACAATAATGGTGACCCTCTTAGAGACCAAATGCCAAACTGCAACCCCAAACCCACTTATTTACTGCCACATGCCAACCCTGCAACTAAACCTGAATGCTGGGGTTTTAATGTAGAATGCAAGAGCTCATACATCAATATCTTTTGTCTTCTAAAAAAAACCCACAATAGCATGTGTGCCATAGGTTTGCCACTGTTTTAGGGTAAGAATTCCTTGCCAAATTTCCTCCTGTTGGTTTACTCTCTCCAAGCTTTGCTTCAAAGACCAACCAGACAGCCATCTCTGTGATCTGCATTACTTGCCCTGAGGTTTTTCTGCAGCCAAATGCTCTACCCCTGAGCTATGTTCTCGCCTCTGAGGCTGCTACCTCTGCAGCTGAGTTACAGTCTCAGCTACATTCAGTCTAACTAATGCTTGGGCAAAGGGGAAGGAACTTTCTAAGCGTCTGTCTCGTCCTGACTCAGGCTGCCTCAGCTCATACTCTCACTCTCAGACTGTTTTAAAGCAGAAAAATCTTTTCTTCAAACAAAATCTGAAGTAGGAGCCCAGTTAAAAATCAAAATAACCAAAACAAACAGGAAAAGGGAAAGGACTCTGGCCACAGTGATGGTAGAAAACTGGGGTCCTTTTTCTGTCTTTGATCCCAATGCCCTAGCTGCCCTGGCTTCCCTGGCTTCTACAGATCCCTACTCTGTTCAAGCTTTCAGGGCTGCTTGGGATTCCTGGAGTTTAAATTTATGAAGAGGGACAATTTTAAAGCTTCAGATCTATTGAAGCTACTTCCTCCATTCACGAATGGGGAAATAAGGTGCAAAGAAGTTAGAGAGATCTGCTTACTTCTTTAATAACTGGCAGACCACCTACCACAAGTGCGTATGATACGTGGATATAGATCAATGTGTATAACTGATGGGAACAATCAGAGGGAACAAACAGTAAAAGAGAACACAGTTTTTCAGAAGTACAGCAGTCACTGATAAACACGTAGCCTTTGGTAAGGTCCTTAACCTCTACCTTCCTCTGAAAAATGGAAAGAACAGTATGTCTTTCACAGGGTGTTTTTTGAAAGGGAAGTATATTTGTAGCAATAATTATCACAATTTTCTTTTAATAAAATAATCACCATCTGTCAAAGGCTCACTCTGTGGTGAGCACGTAGCTCTGCTCAACCAACTCAGGCCCCCTCGTCCTGCACACTGAGTCTCTCGCCCTGTGGGTCTCCTCCTACCTTTGTCTTCCTCTGGTAGCACATGTAGCACCACAACTTTCTTAAACACCCTGCTCTCGTGTTCAAGGTAGATTGCACAGTTGTAGATTCCCTGATCAGCATCTTGCACATCTTGGAGCAGTAGAGAACCATCATTTTGGGAGACATCACCCACCAAGTGTGATCGGTTCTGAAAGCGCCCTGTAGGCACCGTCAAGTTGGAGTAATAGAAGAGTACATATTCATCCTGCAAGGGGGGGACAAGAGGAGAAAAGCAAAAGAGTGGCCAACCAAGAGCCTGGATTTAAAAGGCCCAAATGAGTGAAAGCACAGTATGATCCCCAATGTCACCATTATCAAAAACTTAATGCCACCCAGTTAATAATGGCAATGCGCCAGGAAACCTTCTAGCTTGCACAAGGTGCTGTGACTCATTCTCTACAAAGGCAAATGGAGAAATTGGGTGCATAAGTTTCTACTTCTTATAAATTAAGGAAGACTGTTACACCCACGCTGAAGATCCCTCCGAGGATTCAAACGATGACAATTTGTAGAAATCATATCTCAGCTTTGCCCTGTTTCCTGCCAAGGCTGCCAGATGAATGGCATTCAAGTGCATGATATAATCCCCTTGGCATAGTGGGCTGGTGTTCCCGGAATGCTGCTGCCACTCCTTCTCACATCTGCCCTCCTCCAGCCAGCACATCAGAACACAAAAGAAGGTGTCAGAGACAGGAAATGGCTACAGGGTGGGGGGTGGGGGGTGGGCCCTGGGGAATCCTTATCTCTGCAAACACCAGAGCTATACCCTTCATATAATAACAAATAGTAATAAAATTTTGGCTGACATTAATGTTACAGAGATAATAATAAGTAGGCTTTGAGCTACAAAAACATATTTCAGTTGTGAATGCTGGGATTTTATCACTGGTAGCAAATTGTTGGGAACATAGTTCACAAATGAATTTCACAAATGAATCTCTGAAAAGACTTGATACTTCAGTTTCTTACTCTAAAGAGCTAGGTGTGAAACCCTCGCCCAGCCATGCTGCACCTGCTAGTCCTAGCATTTCAACTAGGTGTGAAGGAGAAAAAGATGATTCCCAGAAGAGTAGAATGTTGACAGAATCTGCTACCCTGCCTCCAGCATGCAAGATAATGATGTCCTTGTTCTTTGGCCCAGCTCATTACTCTTCTGTCCAGACCACAGAAATTACCCCTCTCACCCACCTTCTCTATTCTGCAAAGAGAAGGAGAGACAGAGGAAGGAAGTGAAAAGAACTTCATGGGAAGGTCTCATATTGACCTTTGACTACCTTAAGTTTAAGTACTGCCAGAAATATAATTGCGTTTCTCATCACTGATCAAGAAGCTAGAACTCAGCAAAGCTGGGTGACCTCTACTGACTGCACAGCCATGTGGTTTTTTCGGAAGGAGGCCCAAGTATGATGCCAAAGCTCTTGCAAAACCATCTCATGGTACCTGATGACAGACTCACCCTCTCCCCACCCTACTCTATCATTTGCCAAGGATTCTCCTGTGCAGTGCAGTGTCCTCAGTACCTTGCCATGCAGTCCTGGGGAGTGTATCCAGTCTACCTTGGTCACTCTTTTTCCTTCAGTGTTCTGGATAATACATCCCATCAGGGCTGAATCACCCACGTGGACTCTTAGCTCAGGGTGTGAAGTAATCAAGTCAACGAAGCTCAAAAAATAACCTAAGGAAACAAAGGCAAGAAGACACATCAGGGGCCAGGGAGATAGCTCAGTAGAGTAAGTGCTTCCCTGGCAAGTGCAAGGGCCTGAGTTCAAGCCCCAGTTCCAACAAAAAAAAAAAAAAAAAAAAAGAAGAAGAAGAAGAAGAAGGGCTGGAGAGATGGCTCAGTGGTCTAAAGCACCTACTTGAAACAAGCTTGGCAAAGCACAGGGACCGCGGTTCAATCCCCAGCGCCACATGCCAGCCAGCCCCGCCCCCTGGTGGGCTGAGCTGGCCACACACACACACAATAAATAAATGTAATAAATAAATATTTAAAAAAAAAAAAAAAAGAAGAAGAAGAAGAAGAAGAAGAAGAAGAAGAAGAAGAAGAAGAAGAAGAAGACACGTCATTTAGACAAATACCCTCAACTACAAAAATCACTAAGTACTGTATGTTTCCCCTTGATGACAACAGAGACCAAGCCCTAGAACCAGGAAGGCATCAACAAGAGCAGGAGAAGCACCCTCTGGTTATCTGCGTGGCTCAAGTTTGAAGGGCTCTGCAATCTTTTTTTTTTTTTTTTTTTTAATGTATTTGGCATAGGGTCTCACTATGCAGCTTGGACTCATACCAATTCTCCTGTCTCAGTCTCCCCAGTGCTGGGATTATAGGGGTGCACTACCACGCCTGGTCTCAGTGGCCAGCTCAGCACATCCAGGGACAATACAGGTGCTTAGTGTGCTGAGTTATACCCCAGCCCTGGGTTCTGCAATCTTTATACTGCAGCAAGTACTGTTTGGTTTCATTCCCTTCTCTTGAAGAGTCTCTTCCTCTTTCTTAAAGTTCCTAGAGTTCCTCCTTCCAACTTTCTAAAGAAAGAAAGGAAATCCTGAAGTCCTCCTTATCCACTTAGACACCTGTTTCCACTTACTTAATTTTTTAAAATTAATTTTATTGAGAAAGAAATAGCAACAAGACAGTTGTAAAACAGGTTGGTAGGACAGTTACAATAATTAATACACTGCATATTGTTGTCTTCATAGTAGCTATTCATAGTACAGGATGAAGACATGATATCTTGTCTGAACACTGTTAGTTCAAATATTTCTTCTCATTGAACTAAGAGAAAGTAGCTGTATATTGATGCTAACTAATTTATATAGTACGTTTCTTGATCCTAAATTCTCCACTGGTTTCCTATCCAAATGGTCAACACATCAGTATATTAGGTTCTGTTCCACTTCTCCCTTTCTTCAGTTCCTTCACAAAAGCTTATCTTTGCATCTGATGGCTAATTAGTGAAGTGCTTGTAAGTAGGCTGAAGCAGAGCACTGCCTTCCCCTTCCACCCTCCCCCACCTCACCTCCACCCCCAGTTCTGCCATGGACACTCGCTTTTCATCCTCCAGGCTTTTGCACACAGGGACCATCATCTCCCCATGATCTGAATGTCCTTCAAGGAATTTCAAGAGGTCAAAAAAAAAATCCAAACCATTGCATAGATATTTCTGTTTTCATAATATGTGCTCCATGCAGAGAAAACAAAATCAAGAGAGACAAATTTAGATGCTGCCCAGTTCATATCAAAGAAGAGCCAAGAGAACACATATGGCAATGAACAGAAAATGTGCCCAGTTTTTATTCAAGCTGTTTTCCTGAGAGAAGAGAGCTAACTTCCTGCCCAACAGCAGGTTCACACAGTAGGGAGGACAGAAAAGAAAACATGAACTCCAAACACTTCGGAGGGAGTTATTTTGAAAGAAATCAAAATTAGCTCCCACAACTATTTGGAATTTTCCTATGAGAAGTTAAGCATCTGTATGTTTGGCTGAAGTTACAAGTGAATTTCCTGTAATATTCATAACAATGGGACAGGCATGGTAACACATGCTTGTAATCCCAGCACTCCAGAGGCTGAGGCAGGAGAATTGCTGTGAATTTGAGGCCAGCCTGGGCTACCTACTGAGTTCAAGATCAGCCTGAACTACACGGCAAGACCAGTATTTAAAAAAAAAAAAAAAATGCCTATAGCATTAAGTGAAGAACTCTAAGGAAGAATGACAGCAAAGAGAAACTAAGGTCTGAAGCTCTGCAGGGTAATCTTGGCAGAGAAGAGGGTAAAGAAAATAAGACTCTCTACAGAGAAGGAAAACGTCTTCTAGAAGACATGAGAAACTCCATAGATGTAGACTGGAAACTTCCCGGATGGAAGAGCAAAACGACGCCGGCTGCTCGCAGATCTCTATGGGAGTATTTACACTCCCTCAGAGATAACTACAACCCTGCTTCTTGAAAAATATTTTTGGGTGCATGTGTGCGTGTGTATGTGTGTGTGCATTTGTGCACACTTTGTGTTGCTGAACTTCAAGTAATGGCAACACTTTTGTGAACTTCCCAGGGGCAGTTTTTAGTTCATTGTTCACAGTTCCAGAAATAATAATGAAGAGAAAAATAAAAGGCTATCAGAGCAAAAATAAAAGGCTATGAGATCTAATTAATTTATTCTTCCCACATAGCTATGTCTATGGAATAAGGAGAAAGACAGGGAGAAAAGAGGAGTTTTCAAAACTAGAGAGAAGTGGTGATGAGCAGCCAGAAGTGGCCCCAAGCATGTGAACAAGATCTCATCAGGAGAAGTCAACCTGGCCTGAGCAGAAGACCAGAATGGACTTCACAGAAGGAAGTGGAGCCTCAGAGGAAACCAGAGATGAAGTGAGCACGGGGATGAGGGAAAGGCTCCAGGTAAAGGGAGCCACCGCAGATTGGGAAAGAGCTCAGTGTGTCTGAGGAGCCACAAGAAAACTGGAATGGCTAAAACATGAAATCAAGGGATTCTCAGCCTGTCCTTGGAAATATAGTTCCAGATCTGAGACTAGCAGTGCAAGAATTTCAAGTGCCATAGAGAAACTGTCTATCACACAAGAAGGTTCCAGAGTAAGGACCTGAAGACATTCTGTGTCTGATAGAAACCATGTCTCCCCTCTCCAAGAAAGTAGGCATTGGCTTCTGAAACAGCTGCTTTAGCAAAACCATCAAGTTCCAGCTTATGTCTTCATTCTCACCAACCAAAGGGAACTGAAAATACACAACATTGGCTTTTAAAAATATATGAGAGAGGCGAAGACTCTGAAAATAAACAGCCATTGCCTCGTGAGCTTTCTTCTCTGGGCCTGTGTCCGACTCTCCACTGCTGTGGGTCTGCTCAGAGGCCAAAGATCCAACTGCAGCCATAAGCAGCAATGTGTGCTTCAAACAATCTGGCCACTGGGCCCGGGAATGCCCTACTGGAGGAGACCGTGGCTGTGGTATGAGAATTCGTGGCAGAGGTTTCCAGTTTGTTTCCTCATCTCTTCCAGGTATCTATTACCATTATGGTGAGTCTGGTCATCTTGCCAAGGAATGTGATCTTCAGGAAGACGAAGCCTGCTATAACTGCAGTAGAGGTGGCCACATTGCCAAGGACTGCAAGGAGTCTTAGAGAGAGCAGGAGCAATGTTGCTACCACTGCAGCAAATCAGGTCCTCTGGCTCGTGACTGTGACCATGCAGAAAAGCGGAAGTGCTACTCTTGTGGAGAGTTTAGACACATTCAGAAGGACTGTACCAAAGTGAAGTGCTATAGGTGTGGTGAGGTTGCTCACACAGCCATCAGGTGCAGCAAGACAAGTGACATCAACCATGTGGCAAGTCAGGGCACCTTGCATGGGAATGTACGATTGAGGCCCCAGCCTAATTATTTTCCTTTGTCACCCCTCCTTTTTCTGATTGATGGTTGTATTATTTTCTCTGAATCCTCTTTACTGGCCAAAGGTTGGCAGATAGAGGCCATTCCCAGCCCAGTGAGCTTTACTTGCCGTGTAAAAGGAGGAAAGGGAAGGGGAAAAAATGATTTTATGCATTAAAATACAAAAATTTTATGTTTAGTTTGGTAGAGATGTTATCTATTATTCTTTGTTAAAGAACCCCCTTTCTATGCCACTAGTAAATAGGGATTGACAAATGGGAAGAGTTGTCAGACCATCAAGCCCATCCTGGGCTTCTTGATTATGTTCCCATGTAGGAGGTAAAGCCAATTCTACAAGTGTCTTTGAAGTTCCTTAAATAACTTTAATTTTGGCATAATGATGGCCTTGGATCCTCTGACCTCAGTCGCTGTTAAATAACATCAAGTAACATCTATATCAGCCCTCATAGAACATATAGTTGAGTGGGTGTAAACAAAAAAACAGGCAATGTGTGCACTAATGGCTGTGTGGCTGTGGGAGAGAATAGGTAGACACGTAGACAGAACACCTTCACCACAGCGCTGGTGGTGGACACACAGACGGGGATGGCAAAGGTTTAGAACACAGTTTTTCAAAGACTAAAATCTAAAACCCAGAGTAAACATTGATGCTCAGAGTTAGCATAATTTGGAGCTCTTCAGGAATTGCAGAGAAATGCATTTTTCACAGAAATCAAGATGTTATTTTTGTATACTATATCACTTAGGCAACTGTTTCATTTAGTGTAATCAGTTTTTAAAAGTCAGATGGAAAAAGCAACTGAAGTTGTAGAAAATAGAAAATGTAATTTTAAAGCTGGAGGAGGAAGAGGAAAAACTTAAGAAAATAAAAAATAAAAATACATGAGAGGTCCCGTGAAATAGCTCTGTGAACTAAGTGCCTGCTTAGGCAAGCACAAGGACCAGGGTTCGATCCCTGGTACCACATGCCATGCTGGCCCCACTCCTGAAGGCACTGAGCTGGCCACTAAGACCAGGTGTGGTGGTGCACGCCTATAATCTCAGTACTAGGGAGGCTGAAAACAAGAGGACCATTACAAGTCCAAGCTGTGTAGTGAGACCGTGTACCAGATAAATTTTTTTTTTTAAAAAAAGCATAAGACTTAGGAGAAATTGGGAGATCAGATGCCACCATCCAACACTACACTTCCACTTACCCAGTAACACTGGTATCAGCACGAGCTTCAGTGGGCAAAACATGCTGTTCACAACTTTTCAGTCTTAAAAGGAAAGAATCAGAAAAATCACATAAATAGGAGTTCATTAACTTAACATGCCAACAGTATGTGCCTGTGTGGACCAGCCTGTGTAAGGTTCTGGCACACGGCCCTGAACACACAGGAGAAGGCCCCAGCGCCACCACAGTGTACATGTTGGGAGGATGGGCAAAAAGAAGCAAATGAATGAGTGAGAAAATACCAGATGTTGCTAAGTGCTATCATGAAACAAAACATAGTTATGTTTGCAGAATCACTTGGGGAACTGCTTTAAATTGGTCGGAGGGGCAGATTATGTGGAAGTTGATTTTCAAGAGAAAGAAGAAAGGATTACAAGATGTTCTTGAGATGACAACCATAGGGATTCCACAACCTGAGTGTTCTGCATAAACATAGTTAGAGGATACCAGACCTGACCTTTTCACCTACCGTTCCAACTAAATCATAAATGCTACTTCTAAATATACGAAGAATGTTCAGCCTGTGTGGGAGAAGAGAACACAGAATAAGGAGACATTTTAAACTCAGTTCAGTATCAACCAAACTTTGGACAAAAAGAGGCCAAGTGAAAGGCTCATGGTGACTTTTTTTTTAAAAAAAACTTTGTCAAGGCAAAGCAGAGTGGGTAGAATTGAGAATTAGACTGTGCAAGGGCAAAAGTCCTTCTCTAATGTCTGTATTGTCTCGTGGTATTAATTTCACTGCATTCATCAGCTCTTGAAAAGGAACTCTTTGTTCTACCCCAGGCCCCCAAGTTTTCTCTGCTGAACAGTGGAATCTTAACACCAAGAAGTTACAATTCAGCCAGTCTTCTGTCCCTACCTACAACTGTGCCTGGTCTCAGCTACCCCATATGCCTAGCCGCCTCACCAATAGAGGAAACCCACTCCACAATCTGCTGAGAGGAAAGGCCTCCTAGCTCTATTAACAGAAAGCCACAGTACTTCACCTGGCTCTACTGGGACATCTGTCACACATTGTGGCTATTTTTATTTGTAAAAAAGGAATTGCCTGATTCTTTATCCCTGTCATAACCAACAAAATCCTCCACCTAGAAAATCAGGTCAAACTGTTCCAGGGATTTCCTTCCTCAGGTCCCACTTGACCTTACAGAGCCTCAGTTCATTCTCCTATAATACAACAATAACACAGGAATCAGACCTGGAAGTGTGGATAACAACGCTTTGAAAATACAGAAAGTATCACCACAGAAGATTCTATTTTCTTTAATCCAGAAGTCTGAAAGAAAACAGTCTGTAGCTTGTGGGAAGATTTCAGACAGAGTTTTAACCTTCATGCGAGTGGCAAATGATGAATTAGAAAACACTGGAAGCTTAAAGCTTCCATTTTGAACCTCACTGTAACCATGTGGATTATAATTAAACTGAGCCAGATGCACTAGGAGCTCCCCAAACAGAATTACCTCTTATTTCTCAAGCTAGCTGAAACCCTTTTCCTCCTCCATAGGCCACTTCACCCAGCATGTACAGGGATAAGGGTTATGATGGGCTTCCTTTTTAGCATCCCTTAACTTTAGTTCATGAGATCCAGATATATGAAATTCCCATTGCCTTCAGGAAGAACCTTTCTCCCAGGGAGTTGGTTGTGCTCCCTCCTCTGACCAGCAGAGGACCTGGACATTCTCCAGCAGCACACCATTTGCAGAGAGGAGTAAAGGTTGATTGACGTATCTCTCACCAACTCCTACTCCGGTCTGTGTGTTAATAAGGGCAGAACCAGAGCTACACATTGGTATCTGTGCCTCATTCCTGTGCGGTAGGACCTATGTGCTGGCACATACTGAGTAGGTGCTCATGGCTGCCAACAGGCCTATTCCAGAGAAATCAGTTTCAAAGTATCCTGCAAGACCGGGAGAAAGGCAGAGACTCCAAAGTTACTGAATCTAGTAGCTGTGTCCACCCAACCCGATCCCTCATAGCCACACTCTACTTTCAAACAAATCGTGGGCAAGGTGAAAACACTCTGATGAATAGAAATGGGTATTTTCAGCCTTAACAACTCGAAAGCATCGTGAAGGCTCTGTGTGAATGGAGAAGCAATAATTTTAGCAGAAATAGCATTGAGCTGGAGGTTTTTAACATTTCTTTTCCAAGGTCAGATCTCCTGTTAGCTAACTGTTTGGTCTTTGGGGAAATCATTCCAACTCCTTGGGCTTCAAATGTAACATTAAGGGATCAGGCTCTTCTTCTACCTAGTTAATAGAGCACCATACTAGAAATCTGGTATTGCTACATGCTAAGTCCGAGAAGTCTGTGTGTCCAGCAGAGCCTGAATTATTTATATCCCAACTGATTTAACTCTTGTCACAACCCTGAGAGATGCTACAGATGAGGAAACCAACATACTAGCTGGTGGAGTGACTTGACAAGAACATATAGCAGGTGGCAGAGCCAGGATTTGAATACTGGCAGTCTAGAGCCGAGAATGGGCAGCTCACTCACTGTGTGGCTCGTGGACACTGCTTCTCCGTGTCTGTGAAAGTAATCCATGTGTGAGGCTGTGTCAAAACAAGATTAATCTATTCCTCCTGGCCAAGTGCTCTTCCAGTTCCTCTTGCTCACACGTTGACTCCATTAACTCCTATGTATCTTTTGGATATCAAGTTAAATGTCACTTAGTTGGGGAAATCTCTCCTCAACCACATGTCTTAATAATACTATTTACCTTTCTTTTAGGGCATGTATCACAGCTTCTAACTATTTCTTCGTGTGCTCACATAATCAAAGTCTTGCTGTTTAGTACATCCCCCAAGACATTTAGCTCCACAAGGCCAAGAGCGGTGCCTACACCCCCCACCACCCTGTGCCTCCAGTCCCAGCATGGTACAAAGTGCAGGGAAGCACTTGGCAACTATTTGTCAGCCAAGTTCTTGCCAAGGACACTTGAGGCAAGTTCAAGTTTCCTAGTTAGTTCAGAAATATTAAAAAAATTTTATACACACACACATACCTATACATAGTCATGAGTCTCTTAGGTTAATATATTCTAAGAAATGTATCATTAAGGGCTGGGGAGATAGCTCAGTGGTCTAAGCACCTGTCTGGTAAGTGCAAGGACCTGTGTTGGATCCCCAGTACCTCATGCCATGCCTGCCCCATGCCGAGCCAGCCACTGAAACCAAGTGTGGTGGTGCACATCTACAATCCCAGCACTGGGGAGGCTGACACAGGAGGATCACTACAAGTCTGAGCTGCATAGTAAGACCCTGTACCAAATAAAAAAATAAATATTTTTTTTAAAAAAAGAAATGCATCATTAAGTGATTTCATTATTGTTCAAATGTAATAGCATATACTTATTGAGGGATATAATATTACTGGGTGATGTAATTTATTTATTTTTTTTTTAATTTTTTTTAAATTTTATTTGTGTGTGTGTGTGTGTGTGTGTGTGTGGCCAGCTCAGCCCACCAGGGGGCGGGGCTGGCTGGGCATGTGGTACTGGGGATTGAACCGCGGTCCCTGTGCTTTGCCAAGCTTGTTCTAAGTAGGTGCTTTAGACCACTGAGCCATCTCACCAGCCCTGGGTGATGTAATTTATGAAAAACAGTATTTTTCATATACTGTTTTTGATTGAACTGTTATTTGAAGGGCTGGGAAATAGCTCAGCAGATTAAAGCACCTGTTTAGACAGACACAGGGACTGGGGTTTGATCCCCACCTTGCCGTGCTGGTCCCACCCCCAGCGCACACTGAGAAGGCATTTTAGACTAGGCATGGTGGCACATGCCTGTAACCCCAGCACTTGGGAGGCTGAAAACAGGAGGACCACTATGAATCCGATCTCTGTAGTAAGACACTATAGACTCTGATATATATATATATAAAAAGGAAAGAAAGAAAGTAGACAGTGTGAAGTAAGCTGGTAGTTTCATTAGATGTAAATCG